AGGGCACTGGCAGAGGAGGAAGGGGACTGGCCCTCTGGAGACAGTGTTGTCCCGGTTTCTGTGGGCTGTGTATTCAGTGGGGTGAGGATACAGGGCTTCAGGGTGGAATATGTTTGGGAAACGTGGAACAAGCAAAGAGAAGGAGGAATTCCTACTCCAGGAGCTCTCAGAGCCTTTCCAACAGTGATGGGCATTGCGAATCTCTAACTGCAGGAAAAGTGGGTGAGAGGAGTGCGGACCCTGCCTTCTGGGAGCTCACGGGTGGTGGAGGAGACAGACCAGACACAGGCACAGGGACACACCAATGTCAGGAAGTGAAGCTCCCTGAAGAGAAATGTGAATGAGGGGGGAGCATGAAAGGTTTCCCTGGGAGGATGACATTTGAGCAGAGACCCGAAGGAGGTGAGGGAGGAGGTGAGGGGGCAGCTGTGTGGCTGTCTGGGGGAAGAGGGGCCCAGCAGAGGGAACAGCATGTGCAAAGGCCCTGAGGCCTGAGGGTGCTTGGTGTATTTGAGAAGCAACACAGGGGCCAGTGGCTGGAGAGAGCCGGGCTGAGGGGGAGGGTGGTAGAACATGAAGTTAACAGGGGTCAGCTCCAAAGGCCATGGTCTTCAAAGCTTGTTGGGGGGCCCTTGGAGGATTTGGGCAGGGGAGCGATACTCAGGGACACGCTGCCCCATGAGCTTATACTAGCAAACAGCCTCATAAGAACAGCAGCCGAAATAACAGCCAAGGGCACTGAGGGTCAGTCAGGGGCTGTGCCTCACAAGCCAGGGAGGGAGGCAGACTGAACGCTCATCTTACAGGTGAGGAAACTGAGGCTCAGAAAGACGTGCGTACATCTATGTGATAGCTGCTCAAAAAATATTTCTGGAACAAATAAATGAGTTGAGAGATAAAATATTAAAAAAATCTTTTCATATCACTTAATATTCTTCAAAAACATCATTTTTAATGGCTGTATGGTATTCCATTCCAGTCCCATCCACCGTTTCCATTGCTCTGTGGCCAGGAAATTAGGTTTTAATTGTTTCCTCTTTTTTTTTTTTTTTGCTGTTATTAGCAATGCTGTAGTAAATATTCTTCTTGTTAGATCTTTCTGAATCTCTTTCATTATTCGGTTAGGGTCTGTTTCTAAAAGTACAGTTGCTAGATCAGAGTACTGGCCTATTGATATGGCACAAAATTTCTCAAATTTTTTTGAGAAGTGTGACTATATTGACCTTCAGAAAGGGCATCTCAATTGACCTTCTCACTTTCAGTGTTTGGAGGGACATATTTGGGCTGAGTTTTCTTTTAATTCACTGCCTTATTTTGTTCTCTCATAGAATATCCTTAAAAGTGTTCCTTATTTTTTTAAATAGATAATACATTGATAAGGTACAAAATCCAAAAGGTATAACAATGTATTTTCTAAGAAGCTATTCTCTTTCCCCTGTCCCCCAGTCAGCCTAGCAGCCACCACTGGGACCAGTTTCTGGTGGGTCCTTCCAGAGAAGTTCAGACGCAAGCAAATACATATAGAGAGAATACGCTTTAAATTAAATGAAACGAAACAAAATACAGCCCGGGGTGCCCAGAAGATAGGGAACTGATATCCGAGGCTGATTTCATCTCAGTTTCTAGCTGACTGGAGCAAATACTGCCAGGGTCAGGGTGCCGGGGGAGGCCTGTCCACGCGGTGAGAGGCTCACCTGCGGGGTCAGGGTAAGGCCACAGGACCCTCCAGCTCCCTCTGACCTGGGCACACTAAGGACAGCTTGTCTACCTTCTTATTCCGGGCTCCCCCTCCCCACCCCCCGCGGTGGGGGAGGGGAAGGACTGGATGCTTCAGTCACCCGGAATTGGCACCAGGTGCTCAACAGATCCTTGAAGATGGGGGCCATCACCAGGATGCTGTTGTCATGTGAAGATGCTCAGAGTTCCAGAATCCGGGTGTGCCCCGATGACCTCTCTTCGTGGGGCCTAATCTGGAGTCCAGGGGAGGTTCCTTCTGCCCTCTGTCCGCCACGCTTTCTTAATCTGGGGACGAGGCGCAGGGTTTTGTGTTGTCTTGCTTGTGCTAAGCTGTGGGGCGTGCAGGGCAGAGCAAGCTTTGAAGACGCGGGGGTCAGCAGGGCCTTTGTCCCCGCATCTCAAATATCTTCCAACCCCTGATTAAAGCTGAACATCTCGGAGAAGAATCTGACCACAACACCGTCACAGTCATTCCTGTGTTAATGACGGGGAAGCGAGGTCTGGGAGGCTTCACACGGTCGGATGCTTTCGTAAAATTTGCCAAAGTAAGGCATTTTAACCTCACTCTGTTAAGACCAACCACCGTCTCCTTCCACTCTGACTTCCCCTTGTGTCAGATGATGTTGGGGTAAGGAATTTTGGGGCTCTGGCTAAGAGGACCTTGACATTTAGTGGGGGTTTAGTGGTTTAATTTACATTGTTTCCAGTCACTTTTGTGAATAGCGCAATTATTACCAACTGACCTGGTATAGGAATGGCTTCCGGGAGTACCCCTACCTAGCTCACTGAGCCGCCTCAACGAGCACTGTGACGTGCAGGTGCAGGGTCAGAGGTCATATCACGATAGCCAAGTGGTCTTACAGTGCCCGATACCACCGGGACGCGGCAGCGGAGAAATGTGGACGGGGAGCCAGACGCTTGTTTGGGGAAAGTATTATGGAGGCATGTCAAGCAGGTAACTCAGAAAAATAATGTTACTTCTCTGGATTTTGTAATGTTTGTGGAATTTGTCATTTGTTGAGGTTTCTTTTATCTTTCTAACCAAATAATCACTTTATTATCTCATTTTATATTTGTAAGTTTGTAGTCTTTTTCTTAAATAAGTCCCCCTAAACTGTCTCAGCCGCAGGAAGCACCAAGTCTGGGTCTGCCCCGGCTCAGTTTTCTCTGTGTCTGCCCCGGCTCAGTTTTCTCTGTGTCTTTTCGGATTGCGGGATCCCCCTTGCCTTTCCTCACTGGCGCAGCCGAGCAGGTCGTGCACACTTGCGCGGGAATGTAACGGAACAGAGGAGAGGACTCCTGCTGGAGCCAGACAAACCCTAGTTTTCTCATCTATAAAATGGGAGTAATAGACTCCCTGTGCTCAGACAGTAACGAAGACAAATGAGGAAATGTGTAAGGCCTGGAGAGCCTGGCAGGGGGCACGGTTAGTGCCGGGTTTGCTGTCTAGCTGGTCCTCACAGACACGGCCAGAACCCCTGTTCATGGCAGTCTCTGTTCTGATTTGATTGGTGCCCAGGCCAGAACACGAAATCATGATTAGCTATTGATACATTATTGGTCCTCCTCCCCCGTCTGCCCAAGGCGTGTACACAGTAAGTAAGTGCTCAGTCGTTGACAATCCAACCCAAGAAGAAAGACACCATCGGGAATAGAAAACAGAGGCTGGTTCTAAACTGAGCAAGGTGCTAGACCCACACAGTGGCTCACAGCTACAAAATTTCCTCATCTCGAAGGGCCCTTAGAGTTAATTTATTCTAATCCTCTTAAAAATATGTGTTTTTTTTTCTTGACATGTTTAAGTGTTGGAAATTTGGAAAATCCACAAAAGTACAAAGAAGAAATTAACTGCTGTTATTACAAATGATTACACATGTATACATGGGTTATTACAATTATGTATTTAATACATATTCATGTTGTACATAGTGCTTTGAAACATACTTTTTAAAAACTTAACACTTTCTTAGCATTTTATCCATACTTTAAGTATCTTTCAAACACTTTTTTTTTTTTTTTGCTGAAGAAGATTGGCCCTGAGCTAACATCTGTGCCAGTCCTCCTCTATTTTGCATGTACGTTGCCACCACAGCATGGCCACCAACAAGTGGTGTAGGTCTGCAGGTGACGGAAGTGGAGCATGTGAACTTAACCACTACGCCATGGGGCCAGCCCCTAACTACATCATTTTTAGTGGCTGCATAATATTCCTCATCGCCAGCCCTGGTGGTTCAGTGGTTAAGATTCAGCATTCTCACTGCGGAGGCCCAGGTTCATTTACCAGTTAGGGAACCACACCACCAGTCTGTCAGTTGTCGTATCGAGGCGGCTGTTTGTTGCTGTGATGCTGAAAGCTATGCCACCAGTATCTCAAATACCAGCAGGGTCACCCATGGTGGACAAATTTCAGCGGGGCTTCCAGACTAGACAGACTAGGAAGAAAGACCTGGCCACCCACTTTGGAAAAACTGGCCATGAAAACCCTATGAACAGCAGCGGAGTGTTGTCTGATATAGCGCCGGAAGGTGAGAGGATGGCGCAAAAAGACTGGGCAGGGTTCCACTCTGTGTACACAGGGTTACTAGGGGTCAGAATCCACTCAGCAGCACTAATGACAAAATATTCCTCATCAGAAAATGGGTATAACTAAAGGTACCTATCTCAGAGGATTATGCCATGAACACTGAGTTATGTTATGTAAAGCTACTTGGCATGTGAAAGCTGGATAAACTTGTCTCTTCTGCAGGATAGATTCATATAACCAATCTCCTTTCGCTGAGCATTGAAGTTATTTCCATTATTTTGCTATGATAACGCTGGGCTATATTAATCCTTGCTCATCTTTGGTCATTTCCTTAGTAAATTTCAGGACTGCTGGGTACGCGTATTTCAAAACTAACCTACTCATCATTGTGCAGCTGGGGGAACAGAGAGGGAAAGGGGCTTGCCCGGGCTCACGTGGCGAGTTAGCTGCAAACTGGGGACTAGGAACCACTTGGGGACCCTAAGTAGTGCCTCGTCCAGCTGGGAACCAGGGGAAAGTCCGGGCTGAGCAAGGGAAAGAACCAGGCCCGGAGCTAAAGCGCCGTCGGAGGAACTGGAGGCCAGCGGCCGGGCTGCGAGCAGGGGCGCTCACGCGCGGCGCCGAAGCTCAGCGGTCGCCTGGCAACCCCGGCGGCGCGGCGTTCGAACGGAAGCGAGAAACCAATCAGGATGTCCGGGGCAAACCATTCCGCCGACGGCGGGGAGGGCGCGTGCTCACTTCCCCTTCCTCTGCGCCGCGGCGACCTTCGCTCCGGTCGGGGCCTCGGGACAGGCGGGTCCCCCGCTCCTCTCGGGTGCGGAGGGCAGCGCCGAAGAGGCGCCTGCGGGTCCTCACGCGGGGCCGGGGCCTCCCGAGCCGCGTTGGGCGCGCCCATTCCCTGCCCGGGTCCGAGCTGTCAGCCTCTCCGAGACCCGCGCCGGAGGAGCCGGGACTCGCGCAGCGCGGGCTCCAGGTGAGGGCGCGGGCGGTCTGGGGCGCGAGCCCGGGTCTACGGGGGCTCCGTTCCCCGAGCGCCTGCTGTGTGCGTCCTTCCCGCGTCACACCCGCCGGGAGGCGTGGTACCCCGTTTCATGGATGAGAACGCTGAGGCTCAGAGAGCCAGGTGTCCTAGCCTAGCGAGGTCCCACAGAGAATCCGATTCAGGTTCTCTGCTCCGCCTCGCGGTCTCTAGTCTAGGCAGATCTAGATTTGCCTTGAGAGGCCCAGACGGGCAACTGGTGGCCACTTTCTCAGCCTCTTATCAGCAGGGACACGGCCCGTGGAGCCCTGGCTGGATCACCTCCCCCCTGCCCCTCCCTGCACCGTCCTCGGGGAGGGGTGTCCCCTCTGGCCATCTGTCTTACCTTCTCCAGAGCGCCAGGGGTTGCACTCAGGGCTTATTAGGGTCCTTCTGCCTATGGGGCTCTGACTTACACTGCTGTCCCTCTCAGAGGGCCGCTTTGGGGGGACTGGGCAGGACGGACATTTCTGGGCTAGGTGCCAGGTGGGCAGCCGATGCTCCTGCCCTGGAGTCGGTGTTGAACTCTTGCGAATCTGCCCCAGGTCTGGGGAAAGGGCAGAGGCAGTTCCTCAACTGAAGCCACTAGTCACCAGAGACTGGAGTTGGAGGTGGGGCTGGGACCCCTCCTGGTGGAGCATCTGACCCAGACCTGGCTCTGCTTCCTGGGGCTGCCCCTTCCCCCAGGTTGCTATTGTTGGTTTCCTTTTGTAGGTGGGGAAACTGAGGTTTAAGTTAAGCCCCTTGCCCAAAGTCACACCGTCAGCCTTGGCAACTGCTGGACCTGGCTCCCGGTCCATCTGGCTTCAATCTTGGAATCCTAGACACTCAGAATCATAGCATCTGAGAATCTTGAATGTTCTCAAAGGGAGTTACTTATCCTCTCCCCTCTGCACTCTCCTCCTGGCTTTGGGCAGAGGAGCTCTGGGAACTCAGAAAGAAAACAAGTCTTTCATTCATTCTTTCAACAAATATTTATTGACTTCATATGCCCTGCCCTCCCCCGTGTCTATTTTGTTTTTCTCAGTAGCATTTACCCTGTCTGATGTCCTATAATTTCACCTACTAGTGAGTTTATTATCTTCCCCGACTGGAATGTGACGCAAGGAGGGGCCAGGGTGAGGCAAGTGAGGCACTCGCCTCCAGCACAAAATTGAGGAGTGCCCCCAACCCCAGTAACTAAATAACTAAAGCGAATGTTTATTGACCATTTGCTGTGTGTTGTGCTGGTGGGAGATCTACTTGGATGGCCTCCGTGGAGCACCGTCCCCCCTCTCCGTCACAATTACATGTGCATCCCCGGACCCGGCTGTCACACTTCTAGGCAAAATGATGTAGGTGCAGTGATGCTGGCGTGTGGTTTGTAATCGAGAAAGATTGGACACAGCCTGAGTGGCCATCCGCAGGGGCTGATGGGCTCTTTATGTACTGATGTGGCACAACGTATATTATTAAGTATATTAATAAAATATTATAATTAATATGTTAATAACATATTATTAAGAACAACATATATTATTGAGTAAAAAGAGCAAGATGGAAACAGTACCCACCATGTTGCCATATGTGTAAAAAATAGAAAGAATGTGTCTATTATTGCTGGTATGAGCCTAAAATCTCTCCGGAAGGACATACAACTATCTGGTCACAGTGGTGCCTGCAGGGAGGGAAACTGGTGGCTGGGGACAGGAGCGGCAGGGAGTTTTTTTTCACTCCATTCCCTTTATAGCTCTTGAATTTTGAACCATGTGTGTATATCACCTGATTGAAAAAAATATATATATATTCATTATAGGGAATGTATTTAATCAGGAGACCACTGTCCTGTCTGTGATCTGTCACTGACTTGCTGTGTGACTTTGGGCAAGTTTCTTCACTTCTCTGGGCTGCAAAAAGAAGCCATGATGGTGAGCTCAGGCCTGGGCAGAGGACAATCCAGAACAGGAAGTGGGCTTGTCTTTGGGTCTGTCCCTTCCCCATCCTGTGTGCCAGGCCCTTCCCAAAGGCTTTGCATGTGGTATCGCTCTTATTCAGTCTTCCCTACAAGCCCCTTTGTCCCCATTTTGCAACCTCAGGTGCAAACTGAGGCCCAGAGAATTGAGTTGGAGGAGATGGACCGTTGGTGGGCCAAAGAGGAGATTGAAGCCTTAGGCGTCTGCACCCACACCCCTCCCGCAGCCCGCTCACATCTCTCTTCCTAGGTTTCTGCAGCCCTGGGCGAGGCTGACTCTGGACAGGCCAGGAGACAGGTGTCTGGGGAGACTCCAGAAATAGCGTGGGGCCTGACGTGGCCCTGGACGGTGCCCAGCTGGATGTCTCTGACCTGGACAGCTGGGCTGAAATCGAGCTAAGGCTGCCCTACTGGCCAGGCACTCTCCCTGCTGCCTGGAGCCTTTCTGATCCTCCTCTGGGCAGGTGAGGGCCTCTCTGTCTCCATCCGAGTCTGGGCCTGGCTTCTGCTGAAGAGAAACAGAGAAGCGAGTGAAAGGAAGGGGTGGGGGTGCAGAATGTCATGAAAATTATAAACGTCAGAAACCATACCTCTTCAGCACTTACTACGTGCAAAGTACTTTACAATATGAACTCATTTAATTCCCTCAATTCTACGATGTAAGGTAGTTACTGCTGTTATTATTTCCACCTTGTGAAGGGAAACTGAGCACCAGAGAGGTTTAGCGACTTGCATGAAGTCACCGAGAGCTGGAATTTGAATCCAGGGACTCTGGCTCCAGACTCTGCACCCTCTCTTTTTCAGTAAAATGTATATAAAATAAAATTTACCATCTTAACTATTTTTAAGTGTACAGTTCAATGCATTAAGTACATTCGCATTGTTGTGCAACCATTGCCCCCATCCATCTCCAGAACTTTTCCATTTTCCCAGATGAAAACTCTGTACCCATTAAACAGTAACCCTCCATTCCCTCTCCCCCCAGCCCCTGGCAGCCACCATTCTACCTTCTGTCTCTATGAATTTGACACTCTAGGTACCTCATGTAAGTGGAATCATACAATATTTGTCCTTTTGTGACTGGCTTATCTCACTTAGCATAATGTCTTCAAGGTTCATCCATATTGTAGCATGTGTCAGGAATTCCTTCCTTTTTAAGGCTAGATAACATTCCATTTTATGTATTATCATATTTTATTTATCTATTCATCCATCCGTGGACATGTGGATTGCTTCTACCTTTTGGCTATTGTGAATAATGCTGCTGTGAACACTGGTGTACAAATATCTGTTCCCGTCCCTGCTTTCAACTCTTTAGGGTATACACCTAGGAGTAAAATTGCTGGGTCCTATGGTCATTCTATTTAAAAATTTTTGCCTAACGGCCATACTGTTTCCACAGTGGCTGGACCATTTTATATTCCCAAGAGTGCACAAGGGTTCTAATTTCTCCACATCCTCACCAACATTGTTATTTTCTGTTTTTGTTTGTTTGTTTGATAATGGCCATCTTAAGGGATGTGACATGATATCTCCTGTGGTTTTTTTTTCTACCCCGCCAAAGCCCCAGTAGGTAGTTGTATGTCATAGTTGCACATCCATTCTAGTTGCTGTGTGTGGGACGTGGCCTCAGCATGGCCGGAGAAGCGGTGCATCGCTGCGCGCCCGGGATCCGAACCCAGGCCGCCAGCAGCGGAGCGCGCGCACTTAACTGCTAAGCCACGGGGCCGGCCCCTCATTCTGGTTTTGATGTGCATTTCCCTAATGAGTAGTGATGTTGGCCATTTGTATACCTTCTTTGGAGAAATGTCTATTCCAGTGACTCTGCACTCTTAGATTTGTAGCCTCTGAGAGAAGTGGCTCAACATTCTGGGCCGATGAAGGCCTCGCCCAGGAGCTGGGCACTGGAGCATCTGTTTGGTTGAATGGTTGTCACAGCTCACATTTTGGTGGCATTTGTCAGCACAGGCCTCATGCTGGGAGGGAGGCACTGAGGAATTCTATGTTACAATTGGGGAAACCGAGGCATGGAGAAGTTGAGTATCTTACCTGAGGTCTCATGGTGGAGCTGGGATTTGAATGCAGGCAGGCTGGTGCCAGAGTCCCTGCTGCAAAGGTGGCCGGGGGATGGAGTGGAAAAGGGCCCTGCGGGCTGTGGACCCCGCGTGTGCAGAGGTTTAGATGTGTTGTCTGTGGAGGAAGAACTGGGCTCAGCTAGAAGTGGCCAGAGCCCAGCTTGAATGAGTGACTTGATGTTGGAGGAGGAGGGGGACAGGTGGGGGAAGGCCTGGGGCAGCTTCGGGGTTGGGAGGACGCAGGGTGCTGAGGAGTCTTGGCCTTTGAGGTGGCCTGAGTTCCAGTCCTACCACTTGCTCAATAGTGTCCCCTCTTGTGCTTGGTTCCTGGAGGAAGGAAATATGGAAGAGTGTGATGGTGGGAGAGACAGGAAACAAGTGATAGATAAGTGACTATCTAAGATGACAAGATGTGATGAATGCTTGGAAGGGAACAAACTGGTGAGAGAGTTGGCAGGAGCCTCAGGGTGGTCAGGGAGGCCTCTCTGAGAAGGTGACATTTGAAGTGAAACATCAAGGAGGTGAGGGAAGAGGTTCCAGGCAGAGAACAGATGGTGCAAAGGCCCTGAGGCAGGAAAGACCTTGGTGTGTTCAGGAACAGGAGGGAGCGCTGTGTGGTTGGAGCAGGAAAGGTTGGAGGTGAGGTGGAAGAGGAGGGCAGGGACTGGACCTGGAGGGCTTGAGGGCTGAGTGGAGAGTTTGGATTTTATTCTAAGGTGATGGGGAGCCATAGGGTTTAAGCAGAGCAGTGATGAGATCTGATTTCTATTGGGAAAACATTGCCATTATTGCCCCCATTTTATAGCTGAGGAAACTGAGACCCAGAACCATCGCCAGGAGTGCTTCCTAAGGTGGCTTCTCCCTCTGGGGCCCAGAGAGGGAGGCTGTAGATTCCTTAGGAGCCCTCTGGTGAGTGGCCAGAGCCTAACACTGAAGACTGTCTCCTCCCTTCCCCCTCAGACCCGGACCTGGGTTCAAATCCTGGCTCTGCCATTTATCAGCTGTGTGACCTCAGGCAAGTGGCCCCACCTCTCTGTGCCTCAGTTTTCTTAACTGTGAAAGGGCACAATAGTAGTACCTACCTTACCCGGTAGGTGTGAGGATTGAATGAGTTAACATATATAAAGAGCTTAGAACAGTGCCAGGGACAAAGAAAGCACTCAGAAAAGGTCTTCCCTATTTTATGACAATTGTTATTGTTGCTTTGCTTTTACTACTTTAGTGCCTCAATGAGCACCCCACCCCCTACCCCACCCCGTTGTCGCCTCAGTGGAGGGCCAGGCAGGGACCCGGCAGGCCATGTGGGGAATGATGGTCTTGCCGCTTCCCTCACCCCCTAAAATCAGGCCCCGGAGCCTGGAGGAGGCCTCAGGGCTGACTCACTCCCAGGGGGAGGAGAGCTGTTCCCTGAGTCACTTCCTGTCCCCTCATGCCCTCCACCCCAACCCTGGTGCAGCCCCCACCAGGCACAGACGTGGTCCTGGGCCCTCTCAGGTCCCCCCAGGGCGCAGGTCTGAGGCCAGTGGGCACTCCCTTCTCTGGGCCTCAAGGTCCCAGTAGAAACTGGCCTAATCAAATGTGCCACCTAGGGCTTGGGCTGGCAGAGGGGACAGTCCCCTCCCTCCCAGAATTTCGTCCTGCAGGGCTACAATCTCCTCATCTGTAAAATGGGGATTAAACAGTTTCTCCCTCCCCGGGCGGGTCCAGAGATTTAAAGAAGTACGGTGCCTGGCACTCAGAACTCCTAGTTATTATTATTGCTATTATTGCTATTGTTGCTAATGTTTACAGCTTGCACAAAGCCTCCACAGGCCCTCTCAGGCCCTAAGAGCTCACACTGACCTGGCCTGGAAGGTGGGGCTCTCCTCCCTTGGCTAGAGAATGGAGGGCCAGAGAGGGCCAGCACTCTGCTCAGGGACACACAGCTAGACGAGGTGCGTTAAGGCTTGGTGCGGAGGGAAAGTAGCCAGGCTGGACTCCTCAGGGTGACTTTGGGCAACTGACTCAGCCTGTGCCAGCCTGTTTTCCAGTAGTCAAATGGGAATAATAATAGAGCTCACCTCGTAGGGGTTGTCGGGAAGATTAAAATGGGTTAATTAATACCCGGAAAAGCACTTTCTCGTGCCGGGCGCAGTGAACGTTAAGCGGTCCTTGTGGCTGTGGGGGAGGGGGACTCAGTTTTTCCATCTCCCAGATGGGTGCCTTGCCGAGTGGGCCTCGAGGACTGCATGCGCCAGATGTGCGGACGGGGCCAGTGCAGCCGTGGAATGGGGGGCCCGGCCCGCCGAGGGGCTTCCTGGGGTCGGCCGGGCGGCTGGGACCCAGTCCCTGCGACCAGCCACCTGCCAGCGCGCCTGGGCTCGGTTCCGGCCGCCGCCTGGCTTCCGTTCTCCCCTTTTGGGTAACACCTGGGTTGGCGGGTTCACCTGCCCGCGGCCGGCCGCCGGAAGTTGCGCAAACGCGTGTTACCTGAGCCCCAGGTGGGCCGGGCCGAGGAGCGCAGTGCAGCGGCGCGGGCGCAGCCGGGTAGGTGCGGGCCGGGGCCGGGGGCGCGCGGCCCGGGTGGGGGGCTGCCTGGGCACTCCTCCCTCCTAGGGAAGGCGGGGACCGGTCAGGGACTCACCTTCTGGCCTGGGCGAGGCCGCGGGAATCGTACCATCAGTCCCCTCATTTAGGAGCCAGGCCAACCGGGGCTCAGAGAGGGGCAGCGAGCGGCCAGGGTCACACAGCGCGCTGCCGGGCTCGCGGCCTCCTCTGCCGCTGGGAGTCCCCAGGATTGCCCCGAAGTGGGGAAGGGCAGAAGCCAGACCGAGGATCCGGGGTCCCCTTGCTCCCCCTCGGCAGCCCCCTGAGGCTGACGCCCGGGAAGCCGGTGGGGAGGGGGCAAGGTGGGGCTGCATGTCCCGATGCTAATAAGAAGGGCCCGGGGCCGGCGCATTGGTGGCCGTTTGTGGGTAGCGTTTGAAGTCCGTGGGTGGGGCGTTGGGCGGTGAGAGGAGGCCTCCGAGAGGACACTGAGTTCCCCCTGGGGACTGGGACCCTGGCTTCACCTCGCAGGAGCCGCCGCACCTCCGTTTGCCCGCGTGTGAAATGGGGCTTGTTCAGATGAGCTCACTGATTCGCGTCGTTTGTCCGCCGCCCGGGCTCGGACAGACCCCTCCGGAGCGTGCTTAGAGACCCCTGCGGGGGCGCGGGCTGCCGAGGTGGGTCAAAGTCAGAATAAAAACAGGGAGCCCCGTTCTTGGCGCGCCAGGTGCCGAGGGAAGTCCTCGACCTGTGCTATCTCTGCATCCTGACGGTGACCTGGAGGCCCAGAAAGGTCTATTTTTAACCGCATTTCACAGATAAGGACACCCAGTAGGTAAGAGGCGCTGCCGTTTGCGCAAGGCGCACAGCGGGCGGGGGGCGAGCCCCGGGCGAGCTGCCCCGCGCCCCTGAAGCCGGGCTTGGCTCCTCGCCTCTGTCCCGGTCCCGCCCGAAGAGCCCCTGCGGCCAGCAGGTCGGGCCGGAGGGGGCGCGCGGGGCGTCTGCCCCGGCCGTGCCCATCTGACCTCCTTCCTGCGTCTTTCCCCGGATGGTGCCCGGGAGGGAACCGCCGCCCCCGACGGGTTGAACTGGTTTGCGAGGCGGCGGCCCGGGGGTGGGGCAGAGTCTAGCGCCCTCGACAAGGCTCAGCAGGGCTGCCTTTCCTGCCAGAGGTCTCTCGCCTGAGGTCTCCTGGGGGTCGGCCCTGAGCGGGGCCGCCCTCCTTTCCCACCTACTCCATTCCTTCTACCTCCGGAGCAGCTCTGGCTCTGGGCCAACAGCCCCCAAGGTTCTATTCTCAACTTGCTGTGGCTGCGAGGTCTCAAACTGGGGGCTGGGGGCCAGATGGAGGGGAGGGGGGCAGAAATGTTTGCAGACATGTTTTGTTTGCCCCGTACATCCAATGTTTTTAAAATTATTATTATTGAATATGCTAACATTTAAGAATCTAGAGTTTTCATGCACTTCTTGATTTCCAACTTCTTAGAACATTCTCCACCTACCACTTTGGACTCGTGTGCCTGCAGTAGGCTGGGTGTGCCCCTCTCTAGTTTATGCCTGGTCTGCCCATTCACATTTGGCCCCCATAGGCATTTGAATTCAATAAAAATTTGTAGAATACCTATTATGTGTCAAGAGCAATATCTTAAAACTGAGATACAGCCAACAAAACAGACAACCCCCTGCCCTCACAGAGCTGATATTCTAGGGGAATGGGAGCAGCCGTTTAAGAGTAAAACTACCATAGGCGTAATAGATGAGTGGATTAGACTTCATATGAACTTGTGTCTATTTATCGGCTCTGGGACCTAGGTTGGTCACTTCTCTGAGCCTCAGTTTCTCCAGCTGTAAAAATGAGGTGACAGTGACCCTCTCACAGCCTTGTTGGAGGATTACAGGAGAAGATGGTGTCAAATCTCAGGCACAGGGTGCAGATCCCTGCCTCCCCACCCCAGTCCAGACTCTCCCTCCTGGGATGCCGGATGTCTAGGTGGGGCTGTCGTATGCAGCTTTCTGCTGTGGCTGGAAGGGCTCTAATCTCTGCTGTCTAGCATAGTGACCACTGGCCACCTGTGGCTACTGAGCACTTGAAAAGTGGCTAGCGTGATTCAGGAACTGAATTGTAAGTTTTTATTTAAATTTCAAGCTGAGGCTGAGTAGCCATATGTGGCTAGTGGCTGTTGGATTAGACACACCAGTCTAGATGGCTTGAAATGCAAGTCCTCTTGGGATCTTCTAGACAAAGTCCCTTTCCCCCATTTTACAGATGGGAAGGTTCAGGACTTGGTCTATGGGTTTTCTTCTGGCCCATCTCCAGCGGGGCTGAGCAGGCACTTTGTGGCCCCAGCCCTTCCTTGGAAAAAGGGACAGGGGTGGCCTGAGGCTTAGGTGATCACGTGGACACTTGTGTACCCATGTATGGGCCCTCCTGCCTGTGGGTGCCCATCGTATGGCTGCTGGCAGATCCAGAGTCTGCTGGGTGCTCAAGCAGGGCTGTGTGACCTTGGGCATTTCCGCTTCTCTTGGAGAGCATAGCTCAGGGCCCACGTTCCCCTCACAGGCACCCGTGGATCCCCATGGCCTGGCGTTGCAGTCCCGTGCTGGAAGCTCAAGGGTGTCTGGACTCCATGGGGCGGGGGTGGGGATTTGCTACTCCTCCACAAGCTCTGCTGCTGCGCCTGGGGCCTGGCATGTCTAGGCTGGTGGATGGCACAGGGCAGCTTCCTGCCTGGGTGTGTGAGGGGTGGAGGTGGTACCAGGCTTCCTGTGGGCAGTCCAGGTGGGGTGTGGGCTTGGAACCCTTTCTCTTGGTCACCTAACCCCACGACCCCTGCGCCAGCACCACCCTGCTTGGAAGCAAGGGGCAGAGCCACCAGCTTGCTGAATTAGCTTAATCAAGTTGGTTGAAGCAACCAACCTGGGCTTCAGTTTCCCCATCTGCAAAATGGAGCTTGTTAAGAGGACCCACTGAGGCCGAGCCGGCTGGTGCCCAGCTCACGGCCTGGAGCCCACTTTTGTTCCCTTTAAAGCTTGCCTTGCCCTCTCTTTTCGGCTCAGGCTGCCCGTGTCTGTCTTCTTTGGCACCTTTTTTTTTTTCCTCTGCCTCAGCTGGGCCTGGTCCTCGGAGAAGGGGGGCGGGTTGTGGGCGGAGCCACAGGCCCTCCAGCTGGTGCTTTCTGCCTGCTGATTGGCTCCCTGTGAATCAGGGGCGTGGCCTTTCCTTTAAATAGGGAAGGCGTCTCCGACACCTTTCAGCCTGTGCTGAGCCTTTGTCTCGGCGCGCTCAGTTGGTACCTCTCTCTTCCCCTGCAGCCGTTGCCGGTGTCCAGCTGCCAACTTTCTGCCAGGATCTGTCTCCTCATTTCTCCGGTCTCCTCGGACCGAAGCCCTCGGGGGGTATGTAACAGCCATGCCTGTGGACACGCTGACTCCCGGAGCCCGGGACAGCCCCGCCCCACCTTTCCGCCTGCGGACCAAGGTCCCCGGCTACCTGCTTCGGCGGCCAGCAGACGGTGGAGCTCGGAAACCTAGTGCCGTGGAGCGCCTGGAGGCCGACAAGGCCAAGTACGTCAAGAGCCTGCATGTGGCCAACACCCGCCAGGAACCTGTGCAGCCCCTGCTGTCCAAACAGCCGCTCTTCAGCCCTGGGACTCGCCGCACGGTGCTCACACCTAGCCGCCGGGCCCTACCTGGCCCCGGCCGCCGGCCCCAGCTGGACCTGGACATCCTTAGCAGCCTCATAGACTTGTGTGATAGTCCCGTGTCCCCTGCCGAGGCCAGCCGTACCCCTGGACGGGCAGAGGGAGCCCGCCACCCGCCCCCAGCCACCCCTCCACGCCCGCCGCCCAGCACGGCTGCGGTCCGCCGAGTGGATGTCCTTCCCCTGCCGGCCTCACCTGCCCGGCCCTGCCCGTCGCCAGGCGTTGCTGCCGCCTCCAGCCTGGCGCGGCCCCCGGGTTTGCAACGCTCCAAGTCCGACCTGAGCGAGCGCTTCTCGCGGGCGGCTGCTGACCTTGAGCGGTTTTTTAACTTCTGCGGCCTGGACCCGGAGGAGGCACGGGGGCTGGGTGTGGCCCACCTGGCTCGGGCCAGCTCGGACATCGTGTCCCTGGCGGGGCCCAGCGCTGGGCCGGGCAGCTCCGAGGGGGGCTGCTCGCGCCGCAGCTCCGCCACTGTGGAGGAGCGGGCCCGCGAGCGCGTCCCCTACGGCGTGTCGGTGGTGGAGCGCAACGCCCGCGTGATCAAGTGGCTGTACGGCTTGCGGCAAGCGAGGGAGACCCCGGCGGCCGAGGGCTAGGCCTCCGCTGGACTGGCGGTCGCCACAGGACAGATCTTAGAGAGGCACTTGGCCCCTTGACCTCTCCTGCATCCGCTCCCTGCCTTGGGGCAGACCAGAGGCTGCTGGCTGGTGTGAACCGGCGTGGAGGCAGAGGCTTAGAGGCTGGACCAGCGTCCGTCTGGCAAGGACTGACCCTGGAGAGAGCTGCCTCTTGAGCGTGGACCACCCCCTACCCTCACGTGTCAGAGTTGTGACACGAGCGTCCCCCTGCTTGGTTCCTCTGGTGGGTTTGGATTTCAGCCACTTAGCCCTCCCCGCTGAGAGCGAGGGGCCGAGGGAGCTCACCAGGCCTGTCTACTCAGCAGCTCTGTTTCCTTCTTCCTTGGCCTCTGTCCTTTGCTGACTTCCTCTTCCTTACCCAGTGGGCCCTGGTTCCCTGGGAACTCCCCCCCGGGGGTGGGGGCAGGGGGGAATGGCCTGTCCACTATTCTTTTCTGGCCTTGGCAGCCTGGCCTAAGTGCGTAGACTGCAGGAGGGACTGGTTAGTCTTCTGCACTGCTCTGACTTCCCTCCCCTTGGTTAATAAACACAAACGCTTGTTTTTCAAGATCTGGGCCATCAGACTCTTCTGTGTTCACATGGGGAACGGGTGGGAGAAGTCTTGGGGTGGGGCCTTCAAGACTCAGGAATTGTCCCCCCCAGCATGTCCCCCCCAGGTGGGGCATGAGGGCAGTGGCTGGCCTGAGACTTGCCCCACAGGGGGTCCTCATAAGCCTCTGGGAGGCTGACAGGCCTTCTTCATAGAGGAAGAAACTGGGTCTGGCCACAGAGTGAGTCTGGATAGACCTGGGACTAGGCCTGGGGCCTTTCCCCTGCACCAGGAAGGGGACCTCTCCCACCCCTTCCTGGTTCCCAAGGGGACAAGAAGTTCAGAGCGGGCAAACCCTGAACTTGAGGTCACACAGGCCATAGATTGGGCGTTGGAAGTGGGAGTTTTTGGAGAAAGAGGGACTTGGGGTGGAGAGCAGAAAACAAGGCGCGTTGCTGCCAGCTCCTGGTGCCCTTGGACAAGCTAGTCTCCCTCTCTGGGCCTTAGTGGGAGAGTTGGAGAGCACAGTCCTCTTTGGGTTGGGGGAAGAAGGAGGTGGCTGGCACTGGGCTCTGAGGCCTCAGCTCCTTCCCGTCTCCACCTTGGCACGCAAAGGGCGAAAGCCTGGGTGGCCTCTGCCGGGCCCCAGGGTGGGCGTGCGGAGGGGCTGGGTGGCGCTTCCTCTCCCGCAGGCTGCCTCGGCTGCGGTGCTCAGAAACAGGAAGCTCTAATGGGGGCCCTGGTGACAGGTTTGATGTAGGTTTTATTTTAAGCATAAAGAGGAGATTTCCGTTGGGCTGTTGACAAACATCCAGGTCAGCCCAGCTGTCTGTCAGTCAGTCTGTCTTGTCTGACAGTCTACAACCAGCCCCCAGGGGATTGGGCTGGGCCTGAGTGGTTCAGAGAAACAAGGGGAAATTGGGTCATGGAAGGATGGTGGTCAAGCTCCCCCTCGTGTCCACCCCCTCGTGGTACAGATGGGGAGACCGAGGCACAGAAAGGGGGATGACCTGCCCACAGGCACCCAGCAGGTTTGACAGTGCAGCAGCTGGGCCTCCTACTCCCCATATTAAAGGAGTGATGGGGTTGGGGGGGTAATCTGGGCAGGCTCTGCAGAGGTGGTGTCCTTTGATGTGTCAAAGACCAGCCCCTCTGGGCAGCCTGGCCAGAATTCTTTGCTAAGCATCGCCCCCTTCTGTGACCTGCCAATCCCCCAGAAACCCAAGAAAGTGGGTGTGTTGGCTGCATTTCACATGTGAAGAAACTGAGGTTCAAGTCCCAGGACTGGTGGGTGGTGTGCTGGGAGACCCCTTGTTTCTGGAGGAGGCTTAAGAGCTGGGCTCAGACTTTTCACACTCATCCTGTCACTGACTCCTCAAGGCAACCTTCCGAGGGTCACCTTAGAAGGTTACCTTTTGTCTTGAAGCAGAAGGGGTAGTGGGCTGTCACAGAGCATTTCTGCAGCCTGGGGTTACACCCTTGCCTGCTGGACACCCCAGTCAGTGGCACCTGGCTCCCAGATTCTCCTGACACGTGCCTCACCTTTCTTCCCCATCCTGGCAGCCTTTCCTCCTGGTCACTGTATTGAGCACCTACTGGGTTCCCAGCAGTGGGTAAGACAGACATGCCATGCCTGCCATGTCTGGGGGGAGGGAACGGGCAGCAAAGAGCAAGCACATAACTGTCATATAATGTGGAGCAGGTATGTTCCAAGACTTCTGCCGACCGCCAGAGCTGTTCCCAGGAGCTGGGCAACGGGGTAGGCGAGAAGGGCGTGGGGAGGGTCTGTTGGGAAGAGAGCAGGGAGGGATTCTTGGAAGTGGAGAAGGTGCCAGTCTGAGCCTTGACTTCTCCGACAGGGGTTTCCTGGTTCCGAGAGGGCTTTCCCTCTCCCAGGATTCTGGAACCTACCAGGCTCCCATGTGGGGATCTGTGGAGGGAGCGGCTGTGGGCTTCTGCCACTCCCCACTCCGCCCCAGGCTGCCAGCCCGGAGATCTGGGGAAACAGCCCCTCTATTGTTCTGCATCCAGTTGGAGTGTGGGGGGCAGCGAGTGGCAGCCACTGTGTTTCAGCCCCTCTGAGGGCTGCAGCTGCTGCCCTGTCCCCTGGGGCTCCCTGGCCTCCATCGCAGCTCCCGCAGGCCAGACTGGCCCCAGCTGCCTAGCCCCTAATTAGGCAGAGCTGAGATCTGCTCCCTGATCTATTTCCCACCAGCTAATTATATACACGTGGGCTTGGGAGACCGGCAACCTGGCTGCTGACTTCTGTCAGGAAGGTGTGATGCGCTCCTGGGAAAGGCGCCCATCCCCACCTGCCAGGCCTCCGTTTACTCTTCTGGCCGAGGATGGGATGTAGCTAGAGGGCTCTGTTTCTCTCCCTGGTGAAATGGTTCTGGTTTTGCTATTGAGGCATTCGAGGGGACCAGAGAGAGGAGGCCCCCATCCTGCCTGACATCCTGTGTCCAGGGGGAGCAGGGAGGGACTGAGCAATTAGGCTATCTATAGGTCCCTGACTCTAGGATCCCAGGGCAGGGTGGGGACATAAGCAAGAACATAGTGACAGCTGCATCCCAGATAGACACGCACCCAGAAGGGCTTAGAGTTGTGCGAGTCCATCCAGGCCCAAGACAGAACATCCAGGTTTTTAAAATTTTAATATTTTTCAGATAATACATTCATGTATTTCCCCCAACACTTTATTAAGAAAAATTTCAAATTTAAAGAAAAGTTGAAGGAATTATACAGTGAAGACTTATATACCCACCTACTAGATGCACAATTCTTCATATTTTGCTAGATTTGCTCGATGAGGCCTCTATTCATCCCTTTGTCCATCTATTAAGACAACTTATTTTTATGAAGCTTTCCAAAGTAAATGGCAAACATCAGTGCACTTGCCTTAAAGGCACTGTAGCATGCATATCATTAGCTAGAGTTCAATATTTGTTTACAGTTCTTTTTTCTCTTTTTGGGGGGGAGGGGAGGAAAATTTACATACAATGAAATGCTGAGATCTTAAAGGTACCACTTACTGAGTTTAGACAAGTGCATACTGTACCCCAAACCCCAGTGAGGATATAGAGCAACACCTTCACCACAGAAAGGTCTCTCGTGTCCCCTCCCTCTCAGTTCCTGTCCCTATATAAGGTTATCTCTATATAAATTAAGGAGTATTAATTGATACTATTCCTTTGCTCTGTCCTTCCCATTCCCAGCCTTGCTCCTCCAAAGTAACCACATTCAATTCTTTTAGCTATTTCTTCTGGTACTTTCCTCCACATTTCTAAGTAACATGCTGTTCCTGCTGTTCTCTTGATTAATTTTAGGCAAATATTGACTGACTCTCCAGTCTGATGTCTTCACAGTGTGGCTTCTGTAGACTGACTGCCTGGGTTTGAATCCCAGCCCTTCCTTTTATTGGCCATATGGCCTTGGGCAAGTGACTTTACTGCCTTGTGCCTCAGTTTCCTCATTTGTAAAATGAAAGTGATAAGAATATTTAAGTTATTGGATTGTTATGAGGACTCGACTTGTTAAGTGCCTGGAATAATGCACATTACCCAGTAAGTGATTAAAACGGTTTATTTTTATAATTATTATTGCCAAGGAAGATTTAACTTTTCTCACCCTCCTCTCCATTCAATCTGCATTTGTCACAGTTTTCCCTTAAATGAATATTTAGTGTTGTTTATATTGTAATTACACATATGAATATTATTTCCTGCCAAGCCAAATCGCATACGACAGTTACATTTCCTTTCTTGTGAAACTCTTTGTTTTTCCTGGAGTTACTACCTGCTTTGCTTTTCATTCCCTTAGTTTCCTCTTAACCCATCCTTAATTCTCTGACATCCTCAATTTCCCCATGGTTACACATAGAAGACAATTTCTTGGTTCCAGTTTCCTTCCTGAAACTCTTCCAGTGCTTTTTAATTACCCCTCACTTTTTAAAAAAAACAGTGGAACCAATTTTAAAAATAGAATCTCAAGCACAAATACTGTCTGGAAGATAGCATTTGTGAGCACCCACTGTCCCTGCCCACGTGGGTCTCCAGAGGGATAAAAACTGACGCTGCAGCCCCCGCTGCCAGGCGTCTCCATTTATACATGGGAGCCTCTCCGTGCCGTCTGCTCGCTGGAGCCAACCTCTGGCTCATTCTGTACCCCTTGCTTTATTCATCCTTTCATTCAGTGCAAGTCTGCTGGGTCAGGGATATAGAGCTTGGGCATCGTTGATCCCCCGTTCCCAGATTGGCGTTTACATTGACATGTGAGCAGCCAGGAGAGTGGTCTGAATAGAGGGGTGTGTGGGGTTCGGTGAAGGCTGGGTGCATGTGTATGTGACCTGTAAGGGGCCTGTGAGTGTCTGTGGAAGTGCCTGTGGAAGGCCATTTGTGTACATTTATGTGCACGTGCATGCGTGTACAGGTGTTGTGCACACAGCGTGTGTTCAGGTTTGTCTTTGCTGTCTAACAAACCACCCTAAACCCAGCGGCCTAAGAGAACTATTTATTAGCCCCTGATTCTCTGAATTGGCGAGCTGGTCTGTGCTCAGCGGGGCAGTTCTGGTCTTACCTGGGCTCACTCCTGTAGCTGCAGTCAGCTGGGGCTGGGTGGTTTTGGGAGCCCTCACTCGCATGTCTGGCAGATGGCAGGCTCTTTACTGGGGTGCCCAGTTCCCCTCCCTGAGGCTAGCTCGGGCTCATTCACACGGTGATCTCAGGGTTCCGTGTGCAGCAAGAGATGACAAACTCCAATGCACAGGGGCTTTTTAAAGCCTCTGCTTGTGTCATGATTACTAATGTCCCATTGGCCAAAGTGACACAGCCACGTCAGATTCAAGGGGTAGAGAACTAGACTCCATCTCTTAGTCACCTTGCAAAAGGGCGTGAATACAGGCACGGAGGAATTATTGCAGCCGGTTTTCAATTTACCAGAGCCTATGTGTGCCTGGTGAAGTTTGGGGGGAAATTCCCAGCTTTAGAATCAGAAAAACCTGGATTTCCTGATGCTACCAC